TGTAAAGCCTAATAATCAATTCTTTCTTTTTCGATGACCCTAGTTAAGTTTTTTTATTTTTTTTCCAGAAAATCCCGCCAAAATTTGACTTCCAATGTTGGCGCCTAAAATAAGGCGATATTTTGCTCACCAGCAACGTTTTCCCGATATCGAGCTCATTTTCCCCTTTCTAAATTTTCTAAGTCCGTTTGTATTATGGAATCGTCCTGTCCCTAGTCGCTTGTCAAAGTGTGTGTTTAACAACAATAGTTTATAATAGTAACAAAAAGAATTTTAAAACTGTTTTCCGCATCATCCATGGGTCTCTTCTGAAATTTTTTGTAGCTCCGCGGCGTCTTTCAAACAATATAAAAAACATAATTAATTAAAAATTGGAGCTAATTTGCTCGAATTATAAGTAACATAAGAGCAGGGAGAAAAAGTAAAATGGAATTAAAGCTCTTGAAACAACTTAGTCCTTTTATTTATCAATTTTTTCACCTCCAATCTCATTTACATGTATAAAAACCACAAAAAGTACTTTTTGCCGAGCGAAGGTAATCTTACCTGACGTAACTTATAGACAGTAAAAAAATATTTAAGAAATCTCAATGATTTCCGTTTTTATTAACGAGTCGTAAGCTAGCATAGTATAGTTGCAGCAATCATCACTGGTATTTTCTTTTAAACATTAAAAAAAAATAGATTTGCTAAAGTTTGTAGAAATAGCTAATGTGAAAACAATGAATAAGTCCTTTTTTTAAATGTTTCTGGAATTTATTTACATAAAAAGTTAAAATTTACTTTTCAACTTCGTCTTTTTGAGTTTCTTAAGTTGAATTACTTACTATTTGCTTAAAATTACTTTTTTCTTAACTTCTAAGCTAATATGCTATTTTTCTGGCATTCAAAATTTGGTGAATTTCTATTTATTTATTTTTGTTAAATGTCAACAAACTACTCTGCTGTCTGTAAGGTATTAATAAATCTAAAAAAATAACTATACAAAAAAAATTTAGATTGTTTTGAAGACTTTAAATTTGAAAAAAAAATTTTTATATATAGCGAACGATAATTATCGCCAAACCAAGAGGCTTCCAATTCTACCTTAAACTACACGAACTTGCTTACGACTTCGCTAAAGTGATCGTAGAACTTTTTTACGGCTTATAATTATATTAGCATCAGCATCAGAATTGGCACGACAGCCCTTTGTGAGCCTGGGCCTTCCTCAGAAGCTTTTCTCAATTCTGCCCTTCTCCCAGCAATTGATATTAGTATATGATTAGTATTATATTAGTATATGAGGCAGTTATTGATACAGAGCTTATTACCGAAAATAAACATTACTGCTGCTAATAATAATTTGGTGATTTTTTTAAGACTCCCTGAAACAGAATAGTATCAGTTAAATCTTAGATTTTACCACAGTATTGCAAAAACACATATAGACTTTTGATAGACGACAGTGGAATGGTTAAATAAATTTTGCTAGTAGCGGTTACAGAATAATCGAAACTAGAATCGTCATCAAGCCTAAAACTTTGCTGAAAATTAAATAATTTTACTGATGGACAAAATTGTAAAGCAAGGTTCAACCATTACAAACGCGGAATTTAATAGAAACCTATGCGAATAGACAATTTTTGAAAAACTTTGTTTCCCTTCATTTGTTCCTGGAAACTATAGAATATGAACATTTTTTAAATCGTGTTTTTGGGAAACTAAAGTATTTTAATATTTAATGCAAACTGATTTCTCTAAAACGTGGAAAAGTATTTTTCAAGTGGAAGGTGATAGGTAAAAATCTATATTTTAATCCGATAATATAAAGGAAGAAGGCCTATTTTAAGAATCAACACATAAACAATCAAAAAATAAATAATGAAAGTCCTTATTTAGTTCTATGAGAAATAAATTTAAGCAAATCAATTTTCTTCGAAGCAAAACATACTTAAAAGAACAATGAACAAGAATTGTTCCAGGAACTTCTAGATGTTTTTGCAAAATCTTTATTTTTTAGATGTGCGATAAGTTTATTAAATAGTATGGTAATTAATTTTCAAGTGCTATTACAGCAGCTGCAAGTAAAAAATTCAATTTCCCCACAAATGAATTTTCTTTATTCCTTTAAAAATAAAAATATTGTTTGAGTAATATTGCTCACATGAATAAAAGCAATTTCACGTAAATATGGTTAATACTTTAAAAATCCTAAGCTAATTTAACAACTTAGAAAGATATTTTCTATTTTCCATCAAAGTAATTTCTTTTATTACTTTATTTAATAATTTAAAGCTTAAGTCTATTGATATTTCTAAGCATTTCATAAAACTTTATGGGATGACATAATTATATATATACATATATATGTATGTTTCGATATTTAATAAATATCGAAACATACGTTAATTGTACCGTATAAAATTTTTACACGTCATTAAAAAAAAAAAAACAATTTTTATGGAAAAGTACGAAATCTGAATGAAATCGACTGAATAGTTCCTGAGAAATCAAATTTTTAGGAAGTTCTATATTATACTTAAAATTTCTGTATGCATGTATGAACATTCATATCCTGTATGTACATGACATGTATTTTCGTAATAAGGAAAGCACATTATTTATATATATA